CACACACACACACACACACACACACACACACACACGCAGGATCAGCGCTGAGTGTTTAAGCAAAAGCCAGGAGGATGGGGAAAAAATAAAAAGCCGCCAGAGCTGCAGAAAGCCGACAGGCCAGGAGGGGGCAACAAGGAGCACAGGCTGGAGCCGCCACGTGCCTGCCGCCGGCAGAGGGCAAGAGGCGCAGACCCCAAACAAGAAGCCCGACCACCTCCCGCACAGCACACAGGCATAAAGACCAAAAGGTGTGTGGGTGAGTGAATGAATGAATCAAATCATTAAAGAGGGAGTGAGAATGAATGAGTGGGTAGGGTTCCAGAGAAGTGGAAAATCCTGTGGGAGTGGATGAAGGTGGACAGAGCAAGAGCCGGAGAGGGATGAGACACACAGAAGCACACTCACGTGCTCACACGAAAAGGAGACCCCCGCGAGGGCAGAAGGGGCAGAGGACACACTGCTGGAGGGGCATTCGCCCAGCCCGGCACGGACAGGTGCTCAGCACACCTGCTACCCAGAAGCCTTTCAGGAGCCCATGGAAATGTTTTACCATCTTCTAACATGAGAAGGGAAACGTGGGCTTTTAGCTCAAAGAAGCTGCTTTCATAGTAGTACTAATACATTCATCTTTATACTACTGCAGTCGTAGAATATCCTTCTGGTATACCAACACCCCCACCCACACACACACAACATGCCACACAGACCACACACATGTGAAGTGCAACACTGGGGGCAGAAACCAATGTAATTGTGGGGGACGGAGGGGGAAGGAGGCTGTGGAAACAGACGGACCTGGGACAGAGGGACAGGCACAGGTACACAAGCAAGCGTGCCGACACAGGTGCGTGGGCCCACTGCAGTCTCTTCAAGGAGACTTGACTGCAGGGATGAATCCGGGTCTCACAGGCTGGCAGCCCAGAGGGGAAGTGGGTGAATGAAGGTCCAGCAGAGACGGACAGAGGCCAGGGAGGCACAGAGCAATCAACAAACAGATGCCCCACTTCCCACCTCGTGGCCCATTCCCTGAGTCACCTTTTTATCAACAATGAAATCATGCCTATAGAACAAGAGGGAAACCAGAATTGGAAGGCGAAGGGGCTGCGGACAACAGACAGAGGATAGGGCCCAAGCTGTCTTGTCTGCAGGATGGGAAGAGGGCCCAAGTGTGGGGGCAGCTCTGGCCTCTGTCTTTGAACCAAGGCCCAGCGTGAGGAGTTACAACACAAGGAGCCACGGGTGCTTTGAAGGGTCAGGGGGAGTCTGCCAGGCTGCCGTGAGCACACCCAGGGCATTCCCAGCTGCGGGAACAACCTGGGCAAAGGCAGGGGTGTGGGAGGCCCAGTGAGTGTACTCTCCAACCTGCAGGCAAGGGTCAGATCGTGGAAGGCCTGGGAGTCAACTTGGAAGGGGTCCCCTGGATTCCTCCTGAGTCAGTAGGGAGCCGTAGCAGGGTTCTGAGCTAGAGAGGGCCCAATGGCCGCATTAACAAGGATATGGTGGGGAGGGGAGCAAAGAGCTTCTGCCCAGGCAGGCTATTAGCCAGAGGCACTGAGCCCAAGCCAGCAGCACCAAGGCAGGTGAGGAGGGCACCTCAGCTGTTGGGGATCAGCTGGTGCAGCTGGGGTACGAAGATTCAGCTGGGGAAGATGAAACGGTGAAGGGGGGAGGAGGCGGAAGGCAGGGAGACTCAAGCAGGGCTGGGGCAGGAACAGGTGTCCCTAACTCAGAGAAAGAGGAGAGGGAGCGGGAGAGAGGGAGAGAAGAGAGACCGACCGAGGGAAGGCTGGAGAGGTACAATTAGGTATAAATGAGCACCCAGATGGGCTGAAAAGCAGAAACAGGATCTGAGGTCAACTGGCCAGCCATGCAGCCTCTCTCCCAGGCCACTCGGAGGGCATTGTCCAGGGAATGCAGACTCTACCCTGGGATTCCGCGTCTGCGCAGGCGCACTCCAAGCCACCTCGGCCACACAGGCCAACAGTGGGAGCCCGTGGAGGCTGGGCTGGCGTGCACGGCTTGCTCCACCGAGTCCCTGCAACGTGGACCCGGTTGGAATGGCCAGCATCATGTGTCCACGCATACATACAGGCTGCCAACACCTGCGCCCACATGAACCCACACACATTGGTGCCTGCTGGCCCCAGGAGACCCATGAATACACGCACCTCCTTTGCCTACCCCACCCACCAAGGACAAACCTTAGACAGGTCACCGACTCACATTGCCACCTGTTGGGCCCATGCACGCGCATGGGGTCTGGAGGCCACGCCAACCCGGACACGGGGGTCTTGTGAAAATGATCCTGAACTCAGAAGCATCGGTTTTTAAGGAAGCAACGCTGTTCGGGCTGGAACCGACTTGGACAGTGTGCGTGATTTGTTGTAAAATTAAGGTGTGGCTTACCCTGCTGCTCTCAGGTTGATACCAACTCACAGCAACCCAATCAGACCCGGCAGAACTGGCCCATAGCGTCTTCAAAGCTGTGACCTTACGAAGCACAGGGATACCTCTTCCTCCCAGGCAGCAGCTCGTGGGCTCCCACTGCCCAACCACCACACAGCCAGGGAGCCTTCCTTTACCTCTAAACCCACCGCCGCCGATGGGTCACTGTAACCCTACACGGGCATTCTGAGACGGAATCTTTACGAAGCAGGTTGCCTCACCTTGCTCTTCAGCAGCAGCTGGTGGGCTTGAACCACCAACCCTGAGGTTAGGGACCCAGCATTTACCCCACAGAGCCACCAGGGCTCCTTCACCTATAGTTCATACCCTCAATCTGTGATCTCCATGCAGGCCTGGCAGTGCTGCTGGGTCACAGTGTCAAAAGCCTCTCCCGACCTCCTCCTGCGGGCTGGGGGTCTTGGGCTTAACCTGCTGGGTCTGGTGTACAAGCAAGGCTGGGCATGGGATATGCTCACTCCCCCACACAAGCACAGGCATGCACACATGGCCCCACGCTGGTGCGATCACCAGCATCTGTGCTGGGGTGCCCTCCAGCACGGGGACAGCCAGGACACAGAGCCTGTTCCTTCCCTCCTGGCACACAGTAGGTGCTCAATGAACCACCGGCCAACCACTGAGGTCTGTTTGTGTTTAATCAGACAATATGCAAAGTATTTACAACCAATCCTAGGTCCCTCCCTGCCCCCCAAGCCTGGGCCATGGAATGTGGGACCCCAAAGCCTTGCCCAGAGCTGGGGGGCTCCCCCAGGCCTCTGCATAGTCATCTGAAATCTACAAAACACTGGTTTAATTTTTTTAAAAAAGGAAAAGAAAAGATCAATACTAAAACACCTTGAACCAAGGGCCTTGGGCAGTGGGCAGTGGTGAGGGAAGGGATGGGGTTGGAGAGCACACTGGGGTGAGCGCACCCAGATTGGACTAGGACGGATGGGAGAGGACTTGGTAATCAACACGTATGAGAGGAGAAGTTGAAATTTCATAGGCAGGCACTGCTTGGCCTCCCTTCCCCACTGGAGGGCCTGGCTGGCTCAAGAAACCCAGGCAGCGGGAGTGTTATTGCTATGGTGGGGGCCGTGGTGAAATGCACACGTCAGGGTGACTGCGTAGGGGCATTTTTACATGTTAAATATGGACACACATGGAGGCACGCGCACACACGCACACACGCGCACACACACACACGGGCCCTGGCAAGATGCCCACACGCTGTCAGCCAACCCTTTTACAAAGGGGCACATTGAGGACCCAGGAAAGGCCACCACAGATGCTGAACAGCAGCGCCATGGTCAAAACAGTCTCCAGATGGCCCTAGGGCTGGACTCGCTCCGAGCTAGGTGCTGGGCAATCATGAGGTCATGGTCACATGATAAGGGGCAGACACTGCAGCCCCAAGAGAGGTGGGGGCTGCCTGAGATCACACAGCCAGGCCTGGTGCCTGGCAGTGGACAGCCTCATCCCCTGGGTCCAGCCTGGTACTCCTTCCCTACAAAGGCGTTCAGGAGTGCCAGCTTGGAGAGAAGAACAGAGTCTGGCCTTGAAATGCCATAGGACAAACTGGAGCAAGAACCCCAGGGATCCCCCACAAGCCAGGTCAGGGCCTCCCCCGTCTCTTGGCTCTTCTATATTCTGCTTGATTGCCTCTGGAGCCTGAGGGCTCACTACCTTTCTTGGCCAACTAGCTGCAAAGGTCAATTACCACCCACATTCTGATGGAAGGCTCCTCCCTGCATTCTGAGCACATCTCCTCCACTCTCCACCCGAGCTGGCCCTGCTGAGACCCGCAGCAGGGAATGGCAACACCATTCTCTCTCTGTTGGGCCCCTTGGCTGCCCCCACTTTGTCCAAGAGGCCTCCAGGGACAAAGCTCGTGGTTCCTGAGGAAGACAGCGGGAGTACCAGGTTCTAATTCTACCTCAAGCTTGAACTGCTCTGTGGGCTGGGGCAAGTCACAGCCCCCGTTTCTGGACTCAGTTTCCCCATGGGGGCAAGAACTTAGTGGTGATCTCTAAGCAGGCCAGGATAGGAAGGAGGTACCCATACTACCTGGCATCCACAAGTCCACTGAACCTTGGCTGCCCAGCCAGGGTGCAGACGGAAGAGGGGTTTGGACCCATGGTCCCCACCAACAGGTGTTCCAGACACTGGTGGTAGGAAGAGAGGGTGGGGGCAGGCAGAGTCCAGGGGCCCCTCTTTGGAAAGGCTCTTGGGCTAGCTCTTGAGACAGACCTGGTTGGCGTGGTAAGTGGAGAAGGGGTCAGATGTGTGGAGCAGGCAGAGGCTGGGAAAGGGGCCCTTGCCCCAGTCCTTCCAGTTCCTCCTGCTGAGACCCACAGAGCTCACAGAGGGAGTGCTGGGAGGAGACGTGGGGCGACAGTGGGTGCCAGCCCCCAGCTGCCTCAAGGGCTACCCCAGGACCCTACGCCCTTCCAGCCACAAGGAGAGAAGGGGCCTTATCCCTGGCAATTCAGCCCCACGAAGGGAGGACAGGTGGGTGGAGGGCAGCGGCGGGAAGCAGGACCCTGTGGGAGGTGCTGCCCGCCCAGGATCCCAGCTGAGAGTCCAGGGCAGCCCCGGGGGCCTGCTCCCTATAGGTTCTCGCCGGGCTGGTACTGGGGCTCGGTGGATGTGAAGTAGTCCTCCAGGAAAGCCTGCAGGTACTCGAAGGTGTGACGCTCCTCAGGCTCCTTCCGCCAGCACTGGCACATGAGGTCATGCAGAGACTCGGGGCACTCGGGCGGACAGGGCATCCGGTAGCCCCGCTCTACCTGGTCCAGCACCTCGCGGTTCACCATCCCTGGGGGCAGAGGGAAGCGTGAGGAGTTTGGCTTCGGTGAGGAAGTTGTGCGGAGAGCAGATGGGGACAAGGACAAGGCTTCCCCTGTTAGGACAGGGCCCTAAGATTGAAAGCACTGACCATAGAAAGAGCCTACAACCCAAGGCTCAATCTCTTCTGCTGTGCAATTGGTCAGGAGGAGGTGGTTTATCCAAGGTGACAGGCAGTGCCACAGGTACCAAAGACAGGCTCTGGGGTTCTCCTCTTACCAGGGTAGGGCACCCGTCCCTTGGTTGTGAGCTCCGTCAACAGGATCCCAAAGGACCACACGTCAGACTTGATGGTGAACCGGCCGTACAGGGCAGCTTCGGGAGCCGTCCACTTGATGGGGAATTTGGCACCTAGGGAGAGAGAGAGGGGCCAGGATGGCTCATCAGATCCGCAGCATCATTGCCCTGTGACAGAGAAGGCAGGTGAGCTGCCTAGGGCCTCGCGGCCTGCCCCCTCTCCCGACCTGCCCACCTTGCCGGGCAGTGTACTCGTTGTCTTCGATGAGGCGAGCCAGCCCGAAGTCAGCCACTTTGCACACCAGGTTCTCGCCCACCAGGATGTTGGCAGCACGGAGGTCCCGGTGGACGTAGTTCATCCTCTCCACGTACGCCATGCCCGAGGCAATCTACAGGTGAACCCAGAGCCTGGCTCAGAAACTGCCCCATGCCCCTGCCAGAGGCATATGGTACGGTCTGGGGGGCGGAGGGGCGGGGGATCACCAGCGAGAACAGAGAGCCACACCCCTGCCGCCACACTTCCTCAGGTAGGAAAGGCAGTGTGCACAAAATGTTGGTGGCATAAAAAGTGGGCCCTGCGTGCGGCGGGAAGGAGCAGCACAGGCCGGGATGAAGGGGAGGCACAGGACGAGACGTTGACAGGGCGGTGGGTGGCACGGAAAGGCAGGCATGGATGTCTGCCAGGTCGTGCCTGCAGCTCCTCTCGGAGCCTCCGTTTCCCCATCTGTCAAATGGGGACAACGGCTGCCCCTCCCCTTCCTTCCCCAGGTTGCGTGAAGACTGACTGAGCCATGCCTACGGAGCACTGCCCACCACAAGCACGCATTCACGTCTGCCGGACGGCTGGAAGACCTTCACGGAGAAAACCGAGGCCTTGAATCTACAGGGAGTCAGGAACTCGCGATTCCCAGGGAGGGGCTCCTCCCCCTGCACACAGCCCCCAGGAAAGCTGCAGAGAGCAGCAGCGGGCACAGGGACGCAAGGCAGGCTTCCTGGAGGAGGCACTCAGGAGGCGGGGTCAGGATGCCAGCTGGGACCTGGGGGCTCACGGGCTAAAGGTCTGGGGCAGTGGGAGGGGCTGACTCACCTGAGCAGCCATGTCCACCAGCTGAGGCAGCCGCAAGTACTTGCCCGTCTCCCCCTTGAGAAAGTCCAACAGGCTCCCTAGGCAGAGAGAAACGGCTCCAGCCCCTGCCCCCACTGCCCTCCCCGGGCCTGCCTCCGTCAGCAGGCACAGCAGACAATACGGAGAGCCATCTGTGAATAAGGGCCCTCACTCAGAATGGGGAACAGCCCAGGTGGCCCTCTGCAGGTGGACGATCAAGCAGACAGGGCCCCTGGTGCAGTGGGGCACTATCACTGGGTTCCTTCAAGCTGATTCCAACCCAGAGCCGCCCCACGTACAGAGTAGGATTGGCCCCAGAGTGTCCCTGGCCATCCACCCACCCATCTTTCTGGTTGGCAGGCAGGTGCTTAAACATTGTGCCAGCAGGCTCCTATTACAACAGACTAAGGTGCCAGCAATAAACAGAGTGATGGCCACCACGAGTGGGGTTTGCACACTGTAAGAACAGTTACGTGTACAAAGCTCTAGAATAGATAGACCCCAAACCAAACCCACTGCCACGGCGCTGATTCTGACTCAGAGGGACCCCTCTCTAGGCTTTCTGAGACGTCAATTGTTGCGGGAGCAGACTGCCTTCTCTTTCTGCCCAAGGAGAGGCTAGTGGACTTGCTTGAACTGCTGACCTTACGGTTAGCAGTCCAGCTCTTACCCAGCAGCGCCACAAGGGCACAGCACATCTGAAAATTGGCCGTGATGTGACTGGCCTATTGAATTGTATAATATGTGTGTTATGTGCCAATAAAACTGGTTTTTTTAAATAATAAAAGATAAATGAAAAGTGGGTCAGCAGTGGGTTGGGGGTAGGGGACTGCAGAAGCTTTCTGCAAAGAGGCACAAGGAGACCCTCAGGGTGATGGAGAAGGTCCACACCTGCATTGCAACCAGGGGTACACAAGCGTTCACCTGCTAACACGCATTAAATGGCCTGGCCTCCAAATTAGACCTCGGAGCCGAGTGGAATTCCACCAGCTAATTGACTCGTTTAAACAGAAGCTAAAGGTCAAGGAGAGACTCCACCTGGACGTGACCAACCTGGAGGCTTGGGAGTCCATCATCTCCGGGACCCAGAATTGACTGACCACTTCAGAAAACCAACAAACTAGGGACAGCCTTGGATTAGAACGGAGAAGGGGGCCATCCCTGGCTGGGTTGGACGGGAACTGACGTGAGAATCGGACTCCAGGAAGATTAATGTTCTGTGGGGGAGAAGCCGTCCCCATGGACCCGTCACTGTGCCGCCGCTGGGCCTCACCCTTGCTCATGTACTCAGTCACAATGTAGATGGGCTCCTCAGACACCACTGCATACAGCTGCACCAGCTTCTCGTGCCTCAGTTTCTTCATGACCTGGGCCTCCTGCAGGAAGGCCTCTGGAGACATGGTGCCCGGCTTCAGGGTTTTGATGGCCACCCTCGTGGTGCCGTTCCAGGTCCCTGTGGGGAGGGGCACCAGCAGGTTCACACAAGCCCCCCAGCCCTGTCCCAGAGGCGCCCAGACCCACCCGTCTGGGTACCAACAGCAGGTTTGTGACCAGCCAAGCCAGAGCCCGCCGCTCGCAGCACCCCTCAGTGGCTTCTCTGTAAAATAGACGCACGACCTCAGCAAGCTCCAGACAGGGCTGCTATACCGGGGTTCAATGAGTCTCTGGCCCGGGCTCAAACCGCATGGCTGCTGTGGGGACCGTGGTGAGGAATGTTCTGGAAAGCAGTGGCTCAGCCCACAAGATGGGAGGCCGTGGCTTTCATGAGGCACTGAGTGGCCTCAGGGCCTCTTGACTCTCAGCTGGTCATCAAAGGTGCGCCATGCGCTGACAAATTGACACATGTGCCAGCGGGGGCCTGGGTGAGGAGATGCTGAGGGAGGCCTGCAGAACCAGACGTCTCACAGGGGCCTGCACCCCACAAAGACTAAGGCATCAAGTGGAGCTTGGAGGTCTGACCAGGAAGAGTTTAACCTCTGGGTCTTGATAAACAGGTGCAGGGGAGCGGGCTAAGGTGAGTCCCACCCGATGTGGCTCAAGCCCCATTGTCATAGAGAAGGACAGACATCCGCCTGGCTCTCGGGCCCTGGTTTCCCTGAGGGGTAAGGCAGCAGGGGCAGGGCCTTACCCATCCAGACCTCCCCGAAGCAGCCCTGGCCGAGCTTGACCTCCAGCCGCAGCGACTCGCGGGGGATCTCCCAGGCGTCCTTGGCCAGGCCCTGGGTCTGTGGCTTGGACGTGGGGCACACTGTGATGAGGCGGTGGCACAGGCCGTCGGCGTGTTCTGAGGACAGAGGCAGGGACGTGGCGTTCCAGCAAGGCTCCTGATCCCCCGACATGCACAGCACTCACCACGTGCACACACCGGCTGCCCTCAAGGCCAGGCACCTACACCCGTGCTCACACACACACCTCACATAGGCCTGCGCAGCCTCGGCGGGCACACTGACCGAGTCCTGCCTGCCTGCCTGCCTCCCTGCCTGCACCCATTCACCAGGCTTGAAGAGGGGGCCATCTCAGCTGGGGCTGGGAACCCAGAAGGGGAGGAGTCAGGAGCGACAGGGCAGACAGGCGTCCAGGTTCCTGTAACTACCTTCCAAGACCACCAGTGTGGCCGAAGAGAGCCTGCACAAGTGCAGGTGGTCTTGACGGAGTCCTGGAAGGCTCCCCAGAGGAAGCCGCCGCCCGGGGAGACACTTCACAGGCTGTGCGGAGGCCCCGGGCGGGGGAAGGGGCTGGGAGGAGCCCCGAGGGGCTGGGGGGCGTGGGTGGGGAGTGGTGGGAGGTGCCCGTTCAGACCACACCCAAGATTTCAAAGTAGCCCAGGGAAGGCTTTCATCGGGGGATACGGAGTGAACCCCATGATGTGACCAAATGGGTACAGGAAGTAGCAGATCCTAGAGAGGTTGGAGGGCCTGGTGACAAGAGTGGGGAGGAGGCGTCTCACACACCCTGCAGACACGCGCCATACAGGCACCCCGCACATGCCACACACAGGCCCGACATATGTCTTGCACATGTGCCCCCCGACACAACCCCACACGTGCCCCTCATACAACACATCATGCACACACACATGGACCCGACATACACATACTCCACACACATGTCCCCAGCACAGGCCCTGCATACACCCCTGACACCACAAGCTCCCTCTGCTGCAATCGGCCTAGACGCCCCTCTCTCCTCGTCCCAGACCGGCCCTGGGGCTGCGAGACAAGCCACCCAGCCTCTGCCAGCCCCTTCTCAGCGCTGGTGCTCCCGTGGTGCAGCGGCGCTGCAGCTGGTAGGGGAGAGGGAGGGCAGGGGACAGGGGAGAAGAAGGGGGGGCAGCAAGGGGTCCCCATGTGTTCAGTGGCCGCCCTCCGGCCAGCACACTCACTGGAGTAGTAAGCGACGAGCTGTTGCAGGCTGTTGAACTGGGTGCGGGAGGTGATGTAGAAGCCACCGCTGTCCAGCTTCCGGATCTTGTAGTGCTTCACGTTGAGGCCCTTGGCATTGTCGAAGTCAGACACCGAGAGGCAGTAGGCGCCTACAGGGCCAGAGGGGAGAGTGACCCCCATGCCCGCCACCCCCACGTCCCCCTCAGAGCACTGTGCATGGCTGGGCTGCCTCCATTGCATGCCTCTTAGCCCCCAGCTCAGGGACACGTAGACACTGGGCTGAGCGCCGATGGCTAAAGCCCCTTGCCATGCCCCCTGGGCTCCCGTGAGACCTCTGGACCCTGCGTGTGACTCTAACACATCAACTGCCCTCTCTGGGCCAAAGTTTCCCCCTTTGCACAACGTGGGAACTGCCAGGACCTTTGGGGGAGCTCAGTGAGACCACAGGGAAGAGGGGCTGGCACATAATAGGTGCTCCATCAGGGTTTGCTGGGAGCTCTGTGATCACCCCAAGTGGCTGTGTGCCCCTGGCCTAACTGCTCTCCTCTCGGTGTCTGCCTGTGGGGGCACTGTCCCTGCCCCTGCCCCAGCCCCTCCTGCAACGCAGTCCATGTTCAGGCATGAGTCAGTAGATGACTAAGGCCCAAGGACTTTAAAGGCTGAGCTGGGCCCTGGGGATGCCTCCCTGCTCCTCTTAAGCCTAGAGAAGCTTTGGACTGGAAGTGTTTGCTGGTGTCCAGCAGGCCTGGCTAGGAGCCTTTGCTGCCCTGAGCCCGAGGTGCCTGGGAGCAGCTGGGACAAGCAGGACTGAGCCCCAGAGTTGGGGAAGTGGGAGGGGCGGCCCAACACCCAGAGAGGGCCTTCCTGGGAGCCTGGCCCAGCCTCCTGACCCACAGGCCTTCTTTCTGAACAGGTCCCAGGCAGGGCATCTGATTCATGCTGGGTACATGGAGGCCCAGAGAGAGGAAGTAGCTGGCCTCCTGTCACCCAGAATGTCAGGCACAGAGCTAGGACTTAAGCCCATACACTGGCTCTCCAAAGGCCATGCCTGAGTAACCACACTTCACTGTAGATGAACCAGGCTCTCTCTGTATGTGTGCGCGCGCACGCACATGCACACACACATGCACACATGTCATAACCCTGTGCACACGTGCAGGAATTTTATATCCAGGAGCCCACACATTCACACGGGGACCTCTCCCAGTCACAATTCACTCCACACAGAAACACACTGCCCACGGACACACACACACACACACACACACACACTCTCTCTCTCTCTCTCTCTCTCTCTCCCCCAGACCTACATGTGCGGTGTACACACGTTCCCAATTCTGCTCCCTTGAGCCCCAAGCCCACAGGAAGCAAGCTGGCTTCATCACCATGGCAACAGGGCACCTGTGACCCACTTTCTAGGGGGCTAGAGAGGCCCAGAGCCTGCATTCTCCAGCTGGGGGCAGGACAGGAGGGGGGCAGAGGCTAGGGCAGCTGGGAAAAGAGCCAAGCCAGGTGCCAGCACGCAGGCTCAGCTCCAGAGGCTCCCGAGGAAGGGGAGGGGAGGGTCTCCTGGACCAGCACCCACCCTGAGCCTTTTGCTGTGTGACCCTGACCAACTGATCACCTGTCCCCCACGCCTCACCTCAAGAAACTCAGGCCTATGAAAGACCAAGCCTCACCTTCAGCTGCACCTCTGCTGCCCCAGATGCCATCCAAACCAAGCACACTCCCTGCCACCCAGGCAAGTGTCACTCACAGCCACCCTACAGGGCACAAGAGAACTGTTCCTTTGGGCTGCCAAGATTTTAAATCTTTACAGGAGTAGACAGCCTCCTCTTTCTCCTGCAGAACAACAGGTAGGTTTGTACTGCTGACCTTGTGGCTAGCAGATTGACACCTAACCCACTGTGCCACCAGGGATCCTTTCAGATAAACAAAAACTGCAAAACTAAACTCACTGCTATCGAGTCCATGCTGACGCACAGCGGTCCGGGGTCAGTGGGGCGGGGGCGGGGCGGGGCAGACCTGCCCCTGTGCGTTTCTGCGACTGTAACCCTCGGCAGAGCAACTGGGGGTTTGGAATTCTGGCCTCGTGGTTAGCAGCACAATGTAGTGACCACTGTGTCCACCACTGCATCCCCAGGTCCCTGCCAGGTAACACAGTATTCCTCAAATGCCCCTCCCTGCCTTCAAGCCCAGGATCCCTGGGGCATGGCGGTTTCTGCGGTCCACAAGGTCTGCAGTTAGAAGCCACCGGGTGCTCCGTGGGAGGAAGACGGGGCCCTTCTACTTGCGCCAACAGTTACGGTCTCAGAAACTCAGGGGCCGCTCTAGCCTGCCCGAGAGGGTCACGATGAGTCAGCAACAACACCATGGCAGCACATCTGTGTGAGCTGGGGTTGTTGTTTTGCTTTGGCCTTCATCCTGCTGGTAGTGCCACTTGGGAGGCTCTTCCCACGCCGCACCGCACAGCAAGCTCCTATGTCCCCCACGAGCCCCGGCCCCCACAGTCCCCGGAAGACCTACCTTTTGTGGTCTCGCTTTCACGCACCAAGAAGGTCCCTCTCGGGTTCTCCACGTTGAGTAGCAGCCTTTCCGACTCCCGCCTGGTGATCTTACCGAAGTACCACCTGGGGGGGGTGGGGACGGACAGTGTTGGCAGCCCTGGCTTGCCCTGCCCATGGCACCTCTCCCTGGGGTACCCCGGGGGCCCAGGGGCAGCTCAGGAGAGATGGTGGTGGACCAGCGACCAGCGCAGATACTCACTCCTCGGCCTGGATGGAGTCGGAGGGCGCCACGTAGTTGCTGGGGATGTAACCTGTCTGCCCTGTGCTCAGCGAGTGGGCCAGCCACCAGTCTCCCTCTCTGCGTGGGGGTGGGGAGGAAGCACAGGAGAGGGGGCCTTCAGCAGTCTTCCTGGGGACACCCCACAGGCCCAGGTGGAGCTGGCCCGGAGCTCTGCCCCTCCCTGTCCCAGACACCTCCAGGCCAAAGCCGGCTGTGGACACAGCCAGGCCCCGAGGCCCCCAACCACAGAGACAGAGTCCCGGGCCAGGAAGGAGTCTGCTTCCCTCCAGGTGGAAGCCCCCAGGGAAGCCAGGAGCCGTTTCTGGGCGAGGCGGGCAGCGCCGTCCCTGGGGGCAAGCAGGCCATGGCCAGAGAGAAGGCTCTGGCCTGAGGCAGAGGACAGGTCAGGCTTTCCAGGCCTGAGGGCTGGTGGGACCCAGGAAGAGCCAGGGTGACCGTGCCGGGATTGGTGGCCATCCAGGCTCCAGCCCTGCAAACTGCCCCAATGCTTGCCTCAGTCACAGATCACGGGACCCCCTCAGCTGAGCACCGTAAGCCGCCTCCTGCAGCCGCCCATCTGCAGGGGGAAACTGAGGCCGGGGGTGAGGCCCTGCCCAAAGTCACACAGCGCGCCATGTCGGAGGGGACCCGGGTGGAAGAGGCTCTCGTGCCCAGGGCACTACTACACTGATTGCCCCGTGAGCAGGAGGAGGAGATGACAGGGACCGGAGGAGCTTCCTGATGTGTTCGGGTCCCCTGGGCCTGGGTGGGAGTGGGGAGGGGGCAGAAGTACCTTTGCAGCCATCTGAATGTGAACCAGGTCTGGCTGGAGCGGGGGTCCAGCGACAGAGGAGGGAGGAGAGAGCGAGAGCCCATTGGGAGAGAAGAGGCAGAGATGGGGGTGGTGAGAGGCAGAAAGTTCCAGGGGGGAGGAAGAGAGCCAGGCGGGGCTGGGGGCGGGGCAGGGTGGGCAGCCGGCAGAGGCCTCGCATCCAAAGCAGCCCAAGGGGAAGGGGTGGGGTGGGGTGGTGCCTGTGGGGAATGAGGGACATCAGCGGCGGGGCAACAGCGCCCAGCCCCCTCCCGCACCCACTGTACAGATGGGAAGGCTGAGGCCCGAGAAGCAATGGCCCTTCTCCTCAAAGTCACACAGCCTGACTCCGGCTCCTGACCCCAGACAAAAGAAATGCAGGTGGGGGCTTTCCTGAGCTGTCTTAACCCACAGCGGCCTTTCTGTCTCTCTCCGGCTCTGAGAAAACAGACAGGCAAAACAGCCTCCGCCCTGCAGGCCAGGGACAGAAAGCCTGTGCCCACGTCACACAGTCAGAGGGCAACCCCAAGTCTCTGGCTCCCAGCTCTTCTGACCTGCCCCTGGCCAACGGCCTCAGATCAGCCTGAAAACGGAGGAGGTGAGCCTGTGGCTGGTACCACCGCCCAGCACCCGAGGCCCACTAGCAAGTGGCCACACAGCCTGGGTCATCACTAGTTCCCAAGCCCAGACGCCGGAGGCCCATGGGCTGCGGTGAGAGAGCCTGCACTAGGCAGGGCTCGTGGGGGAGATTCTGAAGCATGGGGGGACCCTAGCCCGTGGTGGGCAGATAAGCTGGGGTCCTCAGGGCAAGGGAGCAGGAGACAGCTGCAGGGTTACTGCCCAGCAGTGTCCACCAGAGAGCGTCCCCAAAGACACTTCTGGAACGTGGGCAAAGGAGAGACCGCTTTGGGAACCACCTCGAGGCAGACCTCCCAAAGCAAACCTGCACATTCACTGCCGTTGTGTGGATGTCCGCTCATAGTGACCCTCCAGGACAGGGTGGGACTGCTGCTGAGCGGTTCCAAGACTGTAACTCCTTATGGGAGTGGAAAGCCCCCGATTTCCTCTGGAGGAACGGCTGAGAGTTTAAAACCGCTGACCTTGCAGTGAGCAGCCCAACACGTCACCACTGTGCCACCAGGGCTCCAGAGGCAAACCTCAGGGGTCCCGACTCCCAGAGACTTGGATGCCAGGTGAGACCTCAGGCTCAGGAGATGGAGGCCCAGAGTTAGTCAGCACGGAACTCCAGGGGCTCAGGTGCGAGGACCCCGCCCAGCCAAGGCTTGGGCTCTCTACCTCCCTCCATCCCAATCCAGGCCCACGTGGGCCGGGCTTCCCAGGCTGGACACCAAAAGCCTCTCCCTCATAAAGGGGGCTTGGGGGTGGGCCTAGGCCGTAATGAGCTCTAAGAGATGGGGGCGGGCGGGTGGGCAGACAAGCAGGGTAATGCCTGGGGGAGCTATGAGGCCCCGACACCTCCAATGTGAGTGGCCACTAAACCTCCCGGGACCCCTCTTCCTACAAAGGTAGCCCCCGCGCTCCACCCCCACCGCCCTCGGCAGGCAAAGACCAGTTGAGTGCTGTGACAGGAGACAGGGCTCCCAACCGACCCCTTGTCCCCCAAATCAGGAGCGTCTCACAAAGGGACCCCAATACATCCAGCTCTCCTGGCGGCTCCAAGCCCACCAATGCTCCCCCAGCCCACCCAGAAGGCAGGAAGATGGAAGGGAAGGGAAGATGGGGCAGGCAGGGGAGGGGCGCTGCCCTGATGCCAGTGGAAAGAGACAGAATGAGAGGTCTGTGGCTCCACACCTCACCTCAAGCTATGACCCCTCCACCCCTCGGGCTCTCCCCACCACACTGGTGATGTCTCCCTGCCCCACGGAGACACCAAGCCCTCCCACAAGGGCTGGGGCTCAAGCTGTCCCCTCCCAGCTCCGCCACACTTGCTGTGTGACCTTGGGCAAGTCGTTTCACCTCTCTGGGCCTCGGTGTACTCATCTGTAGCGCGGAGTGTGGAGACGCACGCGTGAAATCCCGTGACGACCCGGGCCAGCCACAGGACCCAGCCCAGACAGGCCGGGAAGTGTGGGCTTGTTGAGCGGTGGCGGTCTGATCACTGGCCGTGCGTCCCGTCCACCCACCCAGGCTGAGGACCTCTCCTCCCCTGCACCCGGTGCACAGTCCTACGCAGAGCAACTAGCGGCGTGGGAATGCAGAGCGAGGCAGACCCCAGAGCTGCCCTGGGGAGCCCCAGCCCAGGGCGGGGAGGAAAATGGAAGCAGCTGGTGGCAAGGGCTCTAACGCGCGAGGGAATGGAAGCCTGAAGAAGCCACCCCTCACCAGAAACAGCAAGTTTGAGGGAGGGTGGGCGCTTCCAAACCGAGTTCCACCCCTGGCTTTGCTGCTGGGCGGCTGTGTGACCTTGGGCCAGTGCCTTCACCTCTCTGAGCCTCAGTTTCCTCATGTGCAAACTGAAGACAGCCCCCTCGCCCATCCCTACACCTGGATGGGGGGTGGGGGGACTGTCGTGAGGAGCAGATGCAAGGATCTGGGTGAAAACACCCTCTTTCGGAATTCCCTCTATTCGCCCAGAGAAGGGGCCCCTGAGCTGGGTCTGTGGGATGAATCGGAGTTTGCCAGGCGGGGCGGGGAGCGAGGGTGAGCATGCACCACGGGAGAGGAGGCAGGGACAGGCCACCGTGGTCAGGGGGTGGCGATGTTCTGCTACTTCCTTAGCCAGGCCCCTGAGGAGACTCAGATCGACTCTGCTCTGCCCTCCCAGTCCCCTTGCTTTCCACGGCACCCCCTCCAGCCCCACATCCTTCTGCAAGTGGCCCCTCCTGCCACAGGGGGCGGGCGCGCACACAGCGGGGGTCTCCACATGGCTGAGCCAAGCCCAGCCTCTGCCTGCCTGCCCCTCAGCCTGCCCTGGGATGCCCGTGCTGGACTCTGGCCATACCGGGCCCAGGACCGTGGACAAGCCCTTCTTCACCCAGGCCTCCATATGGGGGCAGCTCGGGAAAGGGGCATTATGGGGAGACGCGCCCATCCTCTCAGCCTGGGGCTGGGGGCTGGGGCCTGGTCCGATGGGTGTCAGGAGCGAGCGAGGTGAAGCTGGGGAGGGTAGGAGACGCAGCCAGGGAGCCAGACAGCAGGCAGGGTCACCGGGCACGGGGCACATGCAGGCCAGCAGTCCCCCCTCCTCCCCACAGAGCCCTGACCCAGCCCACGGTCCCCGGCAGTCCCCCCTCCTCCCCACAGAGCCCTGATCCAGCCCACGGCCCCCACAGTGCGTACACACCTGACATCCACCTTCCTCCTAGGGGCCAGCGAGAAAGAAGCAGAGCAGAGAGAGGAGAGGCTAAGAGGAGACTGAAGAGAGCAAGCGTGGGACAGGGGGTGGGAGGGGGCCTGCAGGGAGTCCCCTGCAGAGGGGGCAGCAGGGACACTGGGAGTGGGGCCCTGCCCACCTCCCCTGGTGGCCCCGCCCCTGCGCCGGGCATAGCGCTCAAAGCCTCGGTCGTGCCCCCAATGCATCGGGGCTCCCTTCCCGCCCATGGCTCTAGTCTAGGAGGCAGAAGAAACAGGATGGGAGAGGCTGTGGGGATGGGGGGAAGAACCCTCACCCAAGGGCTGGAGCCCCACACCCCTCCCGGCCTCACTCCCTGCTCCCAGGGAGCTCTGACCTTGGCAGGAGACTGCCAGGCTCCCCTGGGTCAGCAGGCTCAAGTCTGCCCCCCATGGCCAGAGTCCCACACTTCCACGGTGCCCCCCACATCTCACACCCATGTCCAATCTGGACCCCTCTTGGATTGGCTCTTTTATCTCCAACCTTCCCAATGTAAGTCCCTCGCCTACAGCTGGAAACTGCTGTGCGCCCCACCCCCAAACACACATACCCCCCAAACCGCCCCCCACCCCGTCACCAATAAGGGCACAATTCTGTCCTGACCAAGTCCCTCTGTAGGGTCTGAGGCTTGGGGCTGACAATTCCCTGCTCTATCCCCCACTTCCAGTTCTTGGACCCCCAATACCCACCTGCCCAGAGCCCCAGGTCAATAAGCACCGCTGACGGTAACTCTCCAGCGGGCCCACCCTCTGTCCCTCGGCCTCTGGCCTCAGCAGGGCCTGGAGGCCCGTTCAGAGGTGTCTCCAGGCCACACCTGGAGGGCAGGAGGGAGGGTGAGGAGCGACGGTGGGGGCAGGCGGGGGGCACTCACGTGTTGTTGACAATCTGGAGCCGCTCACCCTTCTTGAAGGACAGGTCAGTCTCTGTCCTTGACTCATAGTCATAGAGGGCCACAAAGGTGGTCACTCCACCTGTGGGGGTGGGGGGTGTCAGAGGAAAGAACCCACACTGAGGGAGAGGGGAGCCTCATGCTAGGGAAGGGTGGGGAGGGGCCTGCTTTCCGTACTGCTGTGTCTCCAGTGCCAGTGCCCTGGCACATAGGAGGGGGCCCAGTGCCTGTGTGTCCGTGTGTCCGTGTGTCCCAGAGTGCACCAGTCTGTGGTGTATCTACTGAACGTACGCCAGTGTCCTGCGTGTGTTCTGGTGGATGTGTGTTGTGTTTCTGTACACCTGCCCTCAAATGTGTTCACCCCATGTCGTCCCAAGTGTGTGTCTGGGTGACAGAGAGACAGACAGTTGGTGCCCACGGCTGAGCGGGATTCAGTGCTATGAGGGTGTCTTTGAATAAGTTGCTGACAGTGTGTGTGCAACCACGTGGGTGTGGCTCTATCTGAGTGTGTGCACGTTTGTGTGAATCTCTGTCTCATGTCTTGGGGACCCCTCACCCCATTTCCCCAGCAGTGTGCACCTCTAAGCCTGCCATGCCCAGCAATGCCAGCAGAGGGCGCAGGGGCGCATCTCAGCAGCCAGGACCAGGCCTCCTGGTTCCATCCCCTCTCCCCTGGAGGGCCCAGGTTGTCCCCAGGCCCCTGCCACACACTGGCTGCCCGACCTGACCTAGCAGGGACTAGGAGGAACAGCCTCAGACCCAGTCTCCACCCTGCCCTGCCGTGTCCTTTAGCCAAAACCAACCCTGCTCTCTGGGCCTGTTTCCCCCATGTGGTATGACCATGCACTCCTGCTTCCCTGGACTTCCATTCTGGTAGAGGTGCACCCTCATGGTAACGAATGCAAATGCACGCCCCCTCCCCACTCCATGGGTACCACCCTGGACAGTGCATAGAGCCCCCCACCCCCACCGCCTCCAGGAAACCCCCACCACCCAAGATCCCCAGGGCAAGTAACTCTTCCCCTTCCACAACAGGGCAGGCTGCCCGGGGCCAGGCAGGGTAGGGCATCCCAGGCCCACTGACCAGCCAGCGGCCCCGCCCTCTGCGGGGAGGTGACCGTGTCCGATGAGTTGAAGCCTCCAAACAACTTGGGCTCGGCGGCGGCCTGGACAAAGGCTGCGCTGGGGCCGCGGTGGCTGTCAGCGGAGGCCGGCTTGCTGGGGGTCTGTGAGGTGGGGAAGGCCCCCCCGCTGCCACTGTGGGCATTCTCCGTGGGCTCCAGGCTGCGGCGCCGCTGGCTGGCATCTTTGGGCTTGCTCTTATTGCTGCCCATGCTCCTGGCTGGAGAAAGGAGAAGACCCCGGGTGGAGGGGAGCCTCTGGGCACCGGCAGGGCCTCCTGGCCCCCTTTGATGGTGTCACCCCCCTCCCAGTCGACAGATGGCAAACCTGAAGGCCAGAAAGGACGCTGTGGGACCATGGGGTGAGGGGGGGTGGTAGGCTGGTGGAGGCTCAGTGTGTTCTACTGTAAAATTGGGGTGGGATGACGGCATCTAGGAAGGGCTTCATCAGAAGCCCTAGACTCCCCTTCTCCCCTCAAGGCAGTGTTTCCGTCCCTCCCTCATGGGCATAAGGAGCCTGGCGACAGCATGGCTGCACACTGGGCTGCAATCCCAAAGGTCTGCAGTTTGAAACCACCAGCCACTCCTTGGGAGAAAGATGGGGCTCAGAAACCTACAGGGGCAGTGCTACCCTGTCCTACAGGGTGGCTTGGAGTCAGCATGGACTGGATGGCAGTGAGGTGGTTGTTTGCTTGTTTAGTTTTGTCATGCCCATGTCCCCAGCACCTGGCAGTCAGGAGAGGGCTCACTGCAGCTCTGTTTGATGAATGCGGGGTGGACTGAAATGGACAGAAATCGCTTAGCACCGGGAATGAGGTAGAAGTGGCCTCCGAGGGAGCAAGCCAGCTGAAAGGTCTTAAAGTAGCAGTCCTCGACCTGTGGGTTGTGACCCCTTTGGGGGTCAAACGACCCTTTCACAGGGGTCGCCTAGGACCATACTTCTGATGGTCTTAGGAATCGAGACACCGCTCCTCTAGCTATCTCTAGGCAGGTCAGCCGACATGCAAGTATGCCTACATACGGGGTCACCACAATGTGAGGAACTGTATTAAAGGGTCGCGGCACTAGGAAGGTTGAGACCCACTGGCTCAAAGGAAGCCCTGCAGGGAGTCGGAGGCCGCTACAGGCCCTTTGTGCCTGCTCTTCCGTCTACCTTGACCACGTCACCAGGCCTCCATCGGTTCTCCGCTCCACAGCCACCTCCTCTCAGCTCCATAATTCTCAGCTCAAAAGGGCAAGCTCTCGACTCCTTTGATTGGTCAAATCTCTCCAATGTTCACGCCACTCCTTGATAGCATGTGGGGGGTTTTTGTTGTCTATTGTTTTTATAGCACATGTGACTATGTAATTACTGTTATAGGAGTCTGTGTTTTGTTCACTACTGTGTTCCCAGCCTGGCCACGCACTGGGTGGGGCGGACAGTAGGTGCTCAATCAACAGTGGAATGAATGGGTGGCTATGCAAGAGTGCATAGACTTGAGCCAGAGGTCTGGGAGGCCCAGAGACTGGAAACAGAGAGAACCCTGCTGAAAACTATCTCCTGAATCCACGGTCCTGCCAGCTCCTCCTGCCCCCTCTGCCTGCCTCATTCACAGCACCTGACTCACCGTGGTTCCTGCCAAGCCCGATTGGGGTCTCCCACCGGTCACGCTGCCTCTCTCAGCTCCCCACCCCACCCCTTCTCAGTAGGCCTGACTAGGTCATCACCTTACCTGGTGGAAGGCCGGGGCTGTCCCAGAGGACCTGGGAGGCAGCCTGAGGTCTGAGCGGCGAGACCAGGTATGAAACCAGGGGTCCTGGGATGAGAAGCTCACTGTGCGAGCCTGGGCAAGTCACTGCCCCTCTCTGGGCCGCAGCGTCTTCATCTGCAAAGAGAAGACAAGGCGGGCTTCTCAGACTATCGTGTGGACAAGGACAAGGAGCTCTGATAAGGCTTCTCACTCCTCGGGCTCTGACTCTGGCAGCCCTCAAATGCAAACTCACCACCATCAGGTCCAATCTGACTCCTGGCGACCCTACAGGACAGGGTAGGGCTGCCCCGGGGGATTCCAAAACCGTAACTCTGGATGGGAGTAGAAAGCCTCATCTTTCTCCCTCGGATACTGGTGGTTTCAAACTCGTAACTGTGGTTATCAGCCCAACTCATAACCACTAAGCCACCAAGGCTCCCAGACCCCAAATCACCTTCAACCCTCCCAGAAAGCCTTCAGTACGCAAGAGGGAGGCCGCACCGCCTGTGGGAGGTCTGCCCAAGGCCTGACTTAGCTAACTGATGTCTCTGAATGGTATATGAGAAAAGGGGTGTATCGATGCATGTTATAGATATGTGGTATAGCATTCTGCAACAACCAAAAAGATATATAAGCATCACATACATCCGTATCTAAGAAAACTAGGGGTATGCCTGCTGATACTTCTTAGACAAAACCAACCACCTCACGGGAGTGTTTTCTCAATTTGAAGACTTTGGTGCCACGGTCTCTCAAGACAATTCAGGCAATTAGGATAATAGGATAATAGAGGCCTTAAAGCTTCCGGCGAGGAGCATCTGGGGTTTTAAATGTTTGTGGGCGGCCACTAAGAGACAACCATCAGTCTCTATCTAGAGTCTGGAGGGAAACAGAAATAAGGAACGGCCCAAATCAGAGCCGAAACCTGTCTACAGGAATAACGGACTCCAAGAACTACAGCCTCCTCCACCTGAGATGGAAGGCTAGACAGTGCCCAGCGACCACTGCGAGCATCAAGCATCGGACGAGGGTCACCACAGATGACCACTGCGAGCATTGGACGAGGGTCACCGCAGATGACCACTGCGAGCATCGGACGAGGGTCACCGCAGACGGATCCTGCTAAAGAGGAAGAAGAGCGTGGACCAGAACCTTCGAATTCTCCAAAACGCCTGTCTTACCGGGTTCTAGGAAGTTGGCAAACCCCCTGCAGCTGTAGCCCTGAAATACTCTAAACCTTGCAGCGAAATCATCCCGGGGTCACCTTTGCGCCAAATAGGTTAAGGTTAACTCAAGCCATAAAGTGCATCACCACTCCATGAGGCCCAGAGGTGAAGGTTACTCCTGGGCCGGAGGGCTGGGGCGTGGGGAGCGGATGGAAATGCTGAGAACGCTGACCAGACGGAGGGAAGGTACCAAAGCTACTGCACGGTGTGTGGAGACACGGTCGGAGGTGGCCTGTGTTGCTGTGTGCATTTTCACCAACAATACAAGTAGATCTTTAAAAAACAAAAACTTAAGAGTAAAGCAGAGCCTGCAGTTCGGAAAGGGTTGGCTCGGGAGCCAGACGCCCCAGCCCCGTCAGGCCACTAGGGGGCAGGTGACTCTCTGTGGCCGTGGTGTCATCAATGGAAGGAAGACCCAGAGCCCAGCCACATCAGCTGGGACTGATAGTGTGTAGTTCTGGAGAGGGATCCACCAGGGAGGTGGATTCCTATTCTTCCCAAGTGGATGCTGAAGGCTCTGGGATCGGTCTAGAATCTCCTCCGAGAACCAATGACAGGTGAAAAGTCCCCTGCCTTGGGTGAGACTTTTTCCCGAATGCCAAGCCCTGTCCTGCCACTCCCTCCCCAGGTGAACCTTAGTCTGCAGTCTCAGGGCCTCAGGACTCCTGGTTGCCCAATGCAGGAGTGACCCGCAGAATTCCTGAAGCCCATCCCGTCTCAGAGGATACAGGAGGCCCTGGAAAGACCTGTTTAACAGCCCAAGGGATAGGTCAAGGGACCTGGGGGCCCGGGAAGGCCTGTTTCTATGGCAACCCACTCCACTAAGCCCCCAGTGCCCACATGTGGTTGGTTCCCAGGTACCCGATGACCCAGTTACCCGCAGCTCCATGGGGATTGAATTCCACGACCACCACCACCACCCCGTCAGCTGTTACAGCACCTACTGTGCACGCAGGCCCTCTGCTAGTCTCACACAGGGGACAGAGAAGAATGGGCCAGGCCCTGACTCAGAGGGCACACAGGCTAGCAGGGACCCTGTTTGTGGGATATTACGAATAAAATTTTAGTGTGGTTTAAATATATGTAACAAAATATTTGCGGCTCCAATGTTCCTTATACGCACAGTTCGGCAATGTTAATGGCGCTCATCATGTTTTGGGGTTTTGACTGCGAAGGCCAGGGAGTGCCGATTTTGAAGCACTGTCCCAGAGCCCAAGCTTCCTTTAGAACAGTGGCTCTCAACCTGTGGGTCGCGACTCCTTTGGGGGTCAAACGACCCTTTCACATAAATTGTCTGATTCATAACAGTAGCAAAACAACAGTGATGAAGTAGCAACGAAAATAATGTTATGGTTGGGGGGGGAGTCACCACCACATGAGGAACTGTGTTAAAGGGTCGCGGCCTTAGGAAGGTTGAGAACCACTGCTTTAGAATGAAGTAGCAAGCTGGGATGAGGAGTGAGCTCCGTGTCCTTGGAAGTCATCAAGAAGGGGAGGGTGAATAAGGTGGCTGATGTGTCGTGTACGGAGAGGAAGAGCCAGGGGTGTACAATGTGTCCTGGGGCAGGGGGCTGGGGGGTAGACATGGCTTCTGACCCCAAAGCTCCTACACAAGAAGAAGGACCCCACTGCAAGGCTCTAAGGCAGCAGCCTCTGTGGTGGATTCTGCGTCTACGTGCGAAGCATGCGTTTGTACGGAGGCAGGCAGAATAGAGGTTACGAGGCAGCGCGGGAGCCAACTACCTACGTTTGAATCCCAGCCCTACACCCCCCCCCCAAATTCAACTTTAGATGACGTGGGCACTCATAATATCACAGAGCTGTTGGGCCACCTGGGGTGACCAGTTCCCGCCCAGGACAGGGAAGGGCTCATTGCCAGTCCCTGATAACGTCCTAACTTACCACACACAGACCCTTTGGGCACCACAAAATGATGCAAAGGAGAAAAGTAAATTCCCCTTCATCCTGGCCCGGAGGACAACCGCCTGGGCGCCACGGGGGGTTCCTCCCAAGCACTCTGGGGGAGTACTTGATGGACGGGCTATCTGCAGGTGGGGCAGGGACAGGTCATCCCCACATGCCCAGTGAGAGGGCATCTGGGCCAGGAACCTGGGGAGCATGGAACACCCAGGCTTCTGCAAAAACAGAGTGGGTGGAGAGAAGACAGGCTCACATAGGGTCCCCCTGGTTCTGGGGCCCAAACGCTGAGTCACCATGAGTCACCATTTGAGAAGGGCCAACCCCCCACATCTGTTCCGCCACTGCCGGACTCTGAATTAGAGATAGGTCCTTGGTGGGGGGGGGTGAGAGGAAGTGGCGGGGGCTATGGACAGGGGGGTGCCTGAGGATCTCAGGGATGCCACTCCCGACTGCAGCAGGCCTCTGACACCTCCCCACAGGGCCTGCACCATCCCAGCCCCATGCGGAGTGCCAGGGACAGCCCTGCTGCACTGCCCCCTCCATGCCCCCAGCACTCCCCACTCAACAGACCCCACGCGGCCTCAGCATCTCCTGAAGCCCGCGTCTCCGCTGTGTCACCGTCTCAGGGCTGACATCATTCTCATCCTGTTCAGTCACTCAAATATTTACAGGCACCTACTATGTGTCGGGTCCTGTGTTGGGCTCTGCAGACAGACTCCCCAGCCCCTGCCTGTGCAAAAGCTCTGAGGGGAACTCCTACATTTTCCACAAAACTCTCTTTCCCTCCCGCATCTCCTCCTCCACCCAGGAGGCCCTTGTCCTGGGCATGGACATCAACCAGGTCGTCCTCTCCAGTGTACCCTCCTCCCCGCAGGCAGGGAGCATCTCTGTAAACCACACAGATGACTGCACATGACCCCGGCTTCACCCTGTCCTGGGAAACCCAGTAGGCACTCCTGTGTTGGCCAGGGGGACAGGTCACAGCAGGGACGGTCCATTTGTTGGGCCAACAGCAGGGCGGCTGCTTCAAGGAACACGAGCTGGGTGGCCTGAGGAGGACAGACGCTCCCACACACTGTTGGGTGCAGGCCGCCCAGGACCTCAGTGTCCGCCGCTAAAACGGCAATCACGGCACCCGCACGTCATCGGGTTGGGAGAGATCGTGCATCCAACGGGGCTCAGCTTGGCACATAGTGGACACGCTGTCAACATGACCTACGTTGATTTCTGAGAAGGAAGTAGATTATGTGCTTGCATGCACTTGTCCTCTCTCTCTCTCTGTCTCTCTCTTTCTCTCTCTCTCTCTCTCTCTCTCTCTCTCTCTCTCTCTCTTTCTCTCTCTCTCTCTCACACACACACACACACACACACACACACACACACACACACACACGAGCTGTCTTGGTTTAGAGAAACTTTGGGAAGGATTCCATACTCCTTGCTTCATCCAATAAGGAAAGGGCCGGGAGAGGAAATATCCCTTAGAATTTATCACAATTTTAAAAGTAAATAAATAAATTTGTTTGTTTTAAAGAAACAGAGCTTCCTATCACTCAGCTCTGGAATGGCCTGTCCTCCTCAGCCAGGCCCCTCGGCCCACAGAGTTGGCCCTGCTGCCTTCTCTCACAGCCTCTTCTCCCACCACAGCCCCGCCCTCTGGCCTGCCCAGCCCTCTCCCCTCCTGGCCTTGGCCTAGGTTGTGGCCTCCTCTGGGCACACAGCTGCTCACAGCACACCACTGTTCAGTCACAACACACACCTCCTTTCTTCCCAGTCCTGAAGAACGTCCCCTCCACCCTGTCCAAGGGTGGAAGAGTAGAGCGGGAGGCCTCCAGTGAGGCCTGGTCTCAAATGCAAGCTCCCATCACTCTCCAGCTGCATCTTCTTAGCAGGGAGTCACTTCCCCTCTTGTTTTCCGCGTCTTTAACATGGAAACGATATGACACTGAACTCTCTGAGCACGAAGTGAGCGAGTCCACATCAGGGGCT